ATTCGGATAGCGCGTAGGCTTCGCAATAGGAATGTGGCTGCCATCTAGACATCCGATAACGCCTAAAAGGAGTCTATAATGAAAACAAAAATAGGAACAGACCACGCTTTATTACCTGGAAACCTTGTTTTTTCCTCGAAAAAAAGGCAGTGCCTTGTGCTTCTTCTGGTGTCGGCCAAGCTATTATTTTATGAGCTCGGTTTATTCTAAGCAAATATTTGCAAATAAGGAATACAGCGTTCCAAGTAGCTTTATTAGATACACTAAATCGATCAGCTATTGATCTGAAAATCACTTTTTATTAATTACTAGCTTATACCCGCGGGTTTCACCCCGCGCTTTTATACAAATATGAAAAATAATTTAATGATGTTAGATTTTATTTCTGTGCCCATTTCGTTATAGCTCGTTATTTTTTAAGCGAGTTAAGGTATTTAGGCCGTTTAAAACTATGAAATTATAAAATCTCGTCTGCGTGCTAGGCATACGAAAGATATCAATCCCTCTAAGTTTACCTTAAAATGGTTCCAGGTATACGGCGCGTGAACGTGTAACCAGCGTTGCCAGGTTGACTTTTTTAACGTCATTTGGACGTTTTTTGTATCCCGTTGACGTTTGGACATTTTTTGTGTAAAAAATTGCGTTTTTTAACTTCCCAGTAGTTTTTCTTTTTGACGGTAAGGGTCTTGTAAGTAGAACTGATTTTGAATTACTTTCTTAAAAAATCTTTACAAGCTTTGTGTTTTGCAGCAGCTGCTTCAAAAGATATTTATTCTTTGGACACAGATGACTTAAATATGATGCAAACCAAGGGTACGCGCACTTTTTTTATCTTGGACCAAGGATCCCGTGTTCAAAGGCTGGTTGTGTAAGCACTTGAGGTTACGAGGCTTATTGTAATGTTTGCAATAGGCACATTAAAAGCCAAATCAGGAAAAGCTGATCTATTGCAACACACACGCTCGCAAAAGCATCAAAAAAGCTGGAGCGGCATACAAATTCAGAAAAACTAGGCGACTTTTTTAAGACTTCATTGAAAATGTAACGAACGCAAAAAATGCTTAAATATTGCTATGCTCCTTCTTAGCAGAACGTAATTTAGCATTTTCGACAACCGACTCCCTAACAAAATGCCTACAAGAAAAACAAAATTATTAAAAATCAACGCGATTATTTAGCCCATTCAAACTTGCACATTATTGCCCTGAAATTTAATGCGCTATCAAACTGCATACTCAAAAAAATTCTAAAAAATCTGAATAAAAAGTTGGAAATCTAGCTGAAACTTTACAGATTTTTTATAACTTTTGCACAAAGTCTGAAATGTGGATTTATATTTTGTTTGTTATACAGGGTGTCCCAGAAGTAACGTGCCAAACTTTAGGGGAAGGTAGTTGGGGGGTAGTTTTCCATTTAATGAAATTCATTCTGTCAGTACGGCACTTATAAAATAAATCTCCATAACAAATTTAAAATACTTCGAGAGATTTTCTATCCTTCCAGAGATATGTATTAAGAAGTTTTTAGTATGTATGGGAGGCGACATGCCTCCTTTTTTAATAACTCACATTTTTTCTATGAGCAATTGATACATTTTGTAAACACAACTCCATACCAAGTTCCAGTATTCTTCCACAAACACTTCCAGGGATATGTGGCAAGAAAAAGTAAGTTTGTACTGGAAGTGCCACGCCCCTTTTTCTTATAACCCCAATCTTCTGCCATGAATTTAGAATTGATTTTACATACCCCAGTACCAAGTCTCAGTACTCTACCATGAACACCTCTAGAGATAAGCAGTATAAAACAGTAAATTTGTACGGGAGGAACCATGTCCCCTTTTCGAATAACGCAAATTTTTCTCCATGGGTATGGAATTAATTTTGTATACACATCTCAGTGCCAAGTTCCAGTCCTCTGTAATAAACACCTCCAGAGATATGCAGCATAGAAAAATCAATTTGCATGGGAGTTGCCACACCACCTTTTCCAATAACTCTCATTTTTCTCCATGAGTATGGTATTAGTTTCACATACATACATACATATGTGTTTCCATACCAAGCTTGAATGCTTTACCCCAAACATTTGAAGAGATATGCAATATGAAACTTTCAGTCAGTATGGGAGGTGCTACGCCTCTTTTCCAAAAACGTCCATTTTTCTTCGTGAATATGAACATGATTTCACACAGTGTTGGCAAACTGTTAATCTGATTAACGATTAAAAATTAACGATTAAAATGTTAATCGCGTTTGACGATTAAAATTAATTAGTCGTAATCAACTGTACGATTAATGATAACATTTTTTTAATCGTTAATCGCTGGCTGCGATTACGTTTAATTAATTTAAAACATTAAACGTTAATCCAATTAAAAATAAAATCTGATTAATTTGTCTAGTTTGTCCGAGTTTGAAACCAAACACCAGTTATAATAATTATTTGTGTTTTACGCTTATAAAAAGCACATAATATAAAAAATTATAATTAATGTTTATTAGTAATACATAAACTGGGAACTTTTACGAACCTAGCTTGTAAAACGTTTGTTGGTATATATCTTAATGAAAATGCACACCAAATTGCTTAGATTGATGAGGAAACCCGACTTAGCCATACGGGATTAACTTGCTTTGTGTGCTCAGGGAAATTCCAGCATAACTTAATTAATCACCAAACCTACTTGATCAAATTAAGAGTTAATGAATAAAAATTAATTTTTTAATCGTGGTTACGATTAACTGTTTAGTCAGATTAAAATTAATCATGATTAACTGTAATCAGATTGAATTTAATCGAATTAACTAACTGATTAAAACATCAATCGATTAATGCCAACATTGATCTCACATACATATCACTATACCAAGTTTCAGTTCTCCCCCACAAATACTTCCAGAGATATGTATGTAATATAAAAATTCCAATTTGTATGGGAGGGGCCTTGTGTTACCGGACTTACTTTCAGTCTAAGACCATCCTTCCGAAATCCGTAGTAAGTGTACTAAATTTCGTTCTGATCGGAAAACCTGTTAAGGAAGTAGCCTATTTTTCAATCCTGGTCATAAACCATCTTTGAGCAAAATTTCATTTTCAAACAGGTGGCAATTCTTAAAAAAGTAGCCTATTCTCCAGTCTAGGTCATAAGCTATCTGTGTGCAAACTTTCATGCAAATCAGTTCAGTCATTTACGCGTATTAATTTAATTAAACTTTCATAATACGTGATAACTCTTAAAATAGTAGCCTATTTTCCAACATAGGTCATAAGCTATCTCTGTGCGAAATGTCATGCAAATCTGTTCAGTCGTTTCCGCGTATTAATTTAATTAAAACTTTTTTGACAGGTGGCAACTCTTCCAAAAAATTAGCCTATTTTCCACTGTAGGACATAAGCTATCTGCTTGCAAAATTTCATGCAAATCCGTTCAGACTTTTCCGTGTATTAATTTAATTGAACTTTTTTAGCAGGTGGTAACTCTTAAAAAAAGTAGCCTATTTTTTAACCTAGCTCATAAGCTATCAGTGTGAAAACTTCCATGCAAATCAGTTCACTCATTTCCGCGTATTAATTAAATTAAAAATTTCTAACAGGTGGCAACTCGTAAAAAAAAGTAGCCTTCTTTCTAACCTAGGTCATAGGCTATCTGTGTGCAAAATTTCATGCAAATCCGTTTAGTCGTTTCCGCGTATTAATTTAATTAAACTTTTTTAACAGGTGGCAACTCTTCCAAAAAATTTGCCTATTTCCCACTGTAGGTCATAAGCTATCTGCTTGCAAAATTTTATGTAAATCCATTCAGTCGTTTCGGCGTATTAATTTTATTAAACTTTTTAACAGGTGGCAACTCTCCAAAAAATTAACCTGTTTCCCACTGTAGGTCATAAGCTATCTGTGTGCAAATTTTCATGCAAATCCATTCAATCGTTCCCGCATATTAAATAAATTAAACTTTTTTAACAGGTGGCAACTCTTAAAAAGATAACCTATTAACCAATCTGGCCCATAAGCTATCTGCGTACAAAATTTCATGCAAATCCGTTCAGTCGTTCCCTCGTGATGATTCCCCAAACATCCAAACATACAAACTTTCACATTTATAATATTAGTAAGATAAGATAAGATAGTAAGATTAAAATGACCA